CTGCCCACTTAAGATCATTCTGTGGTTTTCTGTTATTCTCAAGGTCAAGAAAGAAGTCTTTAGTTTGACCTACCAGACTTCAACGTCTGGGCTCTGCCTCCTCATCTTCCCATCTTGTACCCTTTCCCCCCATGACCTGGGGGAGGGGCTTCTTTGATTCCCCCACAAGCCATGCTTTGTCCCGACACAGGGCCTTTGCCTGTCCTGCCCCTCCCTGGACGGCCTTCTTCACCCACCTTCCCCCAGTCAACTCCCGCTCGCCCTTCAGCACCCAGCTCTGTTGTCGCTCCACCAGCCAAGTTCTCCTTGACATTCCCACCAGGACAAATCCTCACCTTGCCCTTCCCTTGGCATCATGCCGCAGCTGACATTTATTTGTGTGGTCATTGGTCCAACGTCTGTCGCCTGGGCTAGACTCTAGACTCCAGGAGGACAGAGGCCACATCTGTGTGTTGCTGATCCCAGGATCCCTGAAGCCTAACTCAGTGCTTGGCATATAGTTAAGGCTCGATAAATATTTGTAGAATAAACAAACTGGCCTCAATTGGCCCCCATTTTTTTTTTTTTTTTTTTAAAGACAGAGTCTCACTCTGTAACCCCGGGTAGAGTACAGTGGTGTTATCATAGCTCACGGCAACCTCAAACTCTTGGGTTCAAGTGATCCATTTGCCTCAGCTTCCAGAGTAGCTGGGACTACAGGTGTGCACCACCATGCCCGGCTAACTTCTCTATTTTTAGTAGAGATGAGTTTTCACTCTTGCTCAGGGCTCAGGCTGGTCTCAAACTCCTGAGCTCGAGCGATCCTCCTGCCTCAGCATCCCAGAGTGCTAGGATTATAGGCGTGAGCCACCTCGCCCGGCCCCCGATCGGCCTCTTGATAAAGTCCACCAGTTGTTTAAGTTCTGCCGTCTATAGCTCCTCAGAGCAGTCGTACCTTCTACCCCAGGACCACCCTGCAGGGGTGGGTGGGCACCCTCCAGACTCCACTCTTCTCTCCCCAAGGCTGAACAGCCGTTGCTCCTTTGGCAGGTGGCTCTTCCAGACCCTCCACACCCTCCTCTGGACAGATTCAGGTTTTCCAGATTCTATACTAGGGAATGAGCAGCTTTTCAAAAGCAATTTGCCCATACGGTTCTGCCAAGTGATGGTGTGGCCATGAAGTTGTTCAGGATTAATGGCCTAGTTAGCCGTTCAGCTCTGAGGCCCTGATCTCTAGGTCACTAAGCTCATGCGTTAAATGGACATCTCATACTAGGAAGTATCTGCTTGCAAACCACTTCGAGGGAGGATGCACGGGTGCCACAGGTTTACAAGGGCGTCAGCAAAAATAAATACCAGGATGAAGCTGAGCTTTTCCCTCTTGTTTTTAAATTGGGGCCAATCTGAAGCAAAATTATGAAGTAGATGAAGAATGTCTAAAAGAAAAGAAAGAAATGCCATTTGTCCAGAGCAAACGGGGTCATTTCTGAGAAATTTTCTTTGGGAATTCACAGAGAGGTTGTAAGGAGCACCCTCAGACGCTGTGGCTGAGAAGCCGGCCTGCAAGGGCAGCTTCAAACTCACCCTCAAAGCTCCATTCTCAGTGCCACATGGGCCTGAGAACAGCTGTGGATGTGACACCAGGGTACACACAATGCCCCACCCCTCACTACAGGGCAGAACTGGAGTCTTTTCAGTTTTAGTTTCCCCATCAGCGTGGCCCAGGGAGTGGCAAAGGTGAGGAGCTTGTTCAAAGGCCAGACTCGCAAGCCCCACGGTGGCAGCTGTCCCCTGGGGAGATTCTGCATCTGAGCGTCTGCACAGGTTGAGGTGGCAGATAGATTCTGACTCCTCACCTGGCTTGGGGACCCGGCTGCATTCCCTGGCCTTGCCATGGCAAGCGCTTAGGAGACGTCTACTGAGTTGAAATGAAACCTTCAATGCACTGGACAAGAGCCTGCTTTGTGGGAGGGGATCTAGAAAACAGCCTGAGGAAAGACCAGGGTGGGAGACCTTCCAGCCTCCCTGCCGCAGGACTGAGCTTTGTGTGGTAGACGATCTCCCTCTAGTGGCGTAAGTGAAGATGACAGGCAGGAGTGAAGAAAAGAATTCCCACCTACAAGGCGTGGCTGCCGCGGGCTCAGATGCTGCTGGCGCATCGTATCGCAACCTGCACTTGCGCGACTCTCCTCCCCTTGCCTCACCCTAATCCCAGCCCTGCCAGATCTTAACTTTACTTAAAATTTGAT